ATCTGCAACTCCACCCAACTTGGAGTCATCCACAAATGTGCTAAGCATGCACTCAATCCCATTCTCCAAATCATTGAAGATGTTGAGCAATACCAGACCCAGGGCAGACCCCTGGGGCACTCCAGGTGATACCTTCTCCCAACTAGATATTGAGCCATTGATGATTATATTTTTAAAAGAGCTAGAGTTTCCAGGGCTCTGAATTAAGAGAGGAGAGAGATCAAAAGCAGGGAGCAGACAGTAAAAAATTCCTTAAGATTAGCCTGATCAGTGGAATTTTGAGACCATTAAAAAGGCGAGACTATTATTAACACCTGTGGAGTAAGGAACAATGAAGCATTATCAATTGACTTGCTCAGCTTCCTGAATAGTATTGCCACAGCTGCTGGAGGGTGAAGCAGAAATCAAAGAAGGGTGCTTCTGTCTTGGTTAGAAAAACAGCTGCCCAGCTTAGTCAGCCCCCAGAATTGAAGTGTTTGTAATTTGGGGAAAAGGGTGTATGTAGCTTGTGAGAAAATATGGTACCAGAGCTAAGGGTCTGTATTCTCTAAATAGATACTGCTGCTTAGTGGTTAGAGATTAGTTGGAACTTTTTGCTTCAGTTTACTGTGAGATCACGTTGGGCCATGAGCCTTGTAAGTGTTCTGAAGATGTGCAATCTGCTCAGCAAGTTTTCCTGAAATAAGTGCTTGTATTGAGTGGATTTTGTGATCAAGATGGCCGTAAACTGTATCCTTGGGGAACCGACTGTCTTGCTTTTAATCCACTGGACAGAGAACATTGGACAACTACATCTGCTTTTTGCAAGCTTTTCATTGGACTATCCTGTTACCTCCTACAGGAGTTCTGAGATTTGCTTCTGTGTTGATGTCTTTAAAAGGATCTGCAACTCACTTGAATGCTTCTGCTTCTGTCTTTCTTACTGTCAGATTGCAGGTCCATCTCCCCAAGTCTAGTTCCTACAGCAGCTGACCTGCCGGAGAGAGATGGTGCAGGTTTCACCCTCAGAATCCATATTTTCACTAAAGGATTCTTGTTATAGTTAAAATTGACACTAGTTAATAGCAACTGAAAGGCCAGCTTCCAGGTGCATGACCCCTGGGGACCGAAAGTCAGTGCTTTCTAAACTGCAGAGACAGCAAGGAAGAGACAGTTTTGCTTATCTGCTGCTGATACCCACTACCTGGAACTTCCAGTGGTTTCAGAGCTGCATGCCCCATGGACTGTATCAGGATAAGCTGTGGTTAGTGTTCCGCATTCTCTTTTTTACTAAAAAAGAAAAACAAAAAAACGGTCTGGGAACTTTTCAGGGTATATCTTCAAAACATAAAAACTGGGATGAAATCTGGATTCTCTGCATGTGGCTCCGCTGTTCCCCACTCGTGCTGGTTAACAGGGGTTTGAACTGAAAAATAGGTGTAAATCAGTAAGAACTGAATGACTTAAAAAAAAAAAAAAAAAATCAGGGAATTGATCAGTGAAAATCAGTAAAAACTGAGAATGCAGAACGCTAGCTATGATATCCCAGGCTGCACATCCCATCAGTGCTTCCTCTGCCACCCACATTACACCATTAGCCCATGGTTTCCACCCCCTACCTGATCTTTGTTTTTGTTTTTTCTCTTCTCCCCCTACTGCTGCTTTGTATATCCATGTCCCACCCCTGCCACTGCTAAACTGTGTGGGGACTCTCCTGCTGCACTGTGACCCTCCTGGCCCCTTCTACCTCCTGTTGCAGCATGTACCCTAGAGTCACCCTCAGCTTCCCAAGCTGCTGCCACCCTCAGCTTCCCAAGCTGCCTTGTCCCCTAGAGCGGGGGCAGGAAGTGGTAGCTGGAGGAGGGAGCAGAGCCTGGAACCACAACAGTTTGCCGGGTTGGGGAGGCTGTGACTGGGCAGGAGCCTGGAGGGCCACAGTGTTACTTCTCATGGGCTGTTTATTGGACAGCCCTGCCTTAGAGAATTCCTTATTGGTGCTGCTGTAGTTTGGCATGTAGACCTTTTGTTACAATCATGTAAACAGCTTGTGTTTGGTTATTTTAGTGAAAGATTCTTCATGCTACAATTTTCAGGTATTGCAAATGTCATTTTTGTACACTAACATCTTGTTTCCTTTTCAGTCTTCTACAAATCATGGGCATGCTCTCTCATAGCTTTTGCATGATGCTTTTTGTAAATTGTCCAGTTTGTATTTGGACTGTCCTTTTTTTCTCCTGAGGGAGTTCTGAGATCAATTTTTGTGATGATGTTTTTAAAAAGACTTGCACTTCACCTGGTAATAGAATGATTTTTTTTCAATCCAGTGCACATCCTGTTTGAATGTCCCCTCAGTAGCTGCAGGGGTTTAGGTTGTAGCCGTGTTGGTCTAAGGACATAGGCAGACAAGGTTCCTTGGGTGAATTTGGTATCTTTTATTAGACCAACCCAAATAGTTGGAGAATATTTATTAAGCAAGCTTTCGGGTTCAAAAACCCTTCGTAGCTGGGGTTTCAGTAGTGAACTGTCTTGCTAGCAAGGATCCTCACCTACATAAACAGCACCAAGAAAGAAGTCAAGTAATTTCTGGTGTTTATCAGATTAAATCATAAGAAAAAGAAACCCTGAATGCTTTTTCACTTGCTTGCACATCTGTACAAATTTATCTTTGCTCAATTGGGGCCACGTTGGTTGTAGTTTTAAAGTTTAGGAAAATGAAGAATAAGGAAGCCTTATAGCAGGGATGGGTAATTATTTCTTCTGGAAAGCCACTTATGTTTTGGTGATCTGTCAAGGACCGCACATGCAACCTTTTTCTGAAGATATCATTTTAACAAATTATAGATAAGTGTGTGTGTGTGTGTGTGTGTGTGTGTGTGTGTGTGTGTATCAGTATAGATATCTATATGCACGCACGCATCTACTATAATATATTTTAATTGTATTTTAAGAAATATTTTTGTCCTGATTTTGCTTTTTTGAGCATTGTATATAGAGGCAATTGCATTATAGCTCAAAACAGTCTTACTCTTGTATATTTGGGGGTGGGGGGACTACCTTTGCACTAGGTCATAAGAGCTGACTGGATGTGAGGTGAGGGGAGGAGGGTTGGGGGGGGAGGGGGGGATAAAAAAGGGCATGTTCAGCATGGCTTGCCTGGGTGGTGTGGTCTGCAGCTGCCTCCATGGTGCCCTGCATAGAGCTGAGTCGTACTGCTCCCACCTGGGGCAGCCCCTGCCTGCTGGCCCTGGCCCCAGCCCTGGCATGTTTTCCAGAAGGGCTGCTCCTACTTTACAGGATTCAGAGTCTGTTTCAACAAAACTTCTGAAGAACAAGAATTTCTCATTGGCTTGTAAAATATTAGCTGGAGGGTGTTCTGTCTAACTTGTAGCATGGACTGTAACAACACAGTTTACTGTACTCAGAAAATCTAAATATTTTTTTCTGTGCTATATACCATGTGTATACTTTCTCTTTAGATACAGTTGTTTAGAAAGGGAGGTGTACTTATTCTGCCTAATGTTGTTGCTAGGATTTATTCTTGCATAGAACACACCCAGCTACAAAGTGCTGAGTGTTTTCTTATGACATTGTATGAATGAACAACACTTATTCTCTGCTCCAAACCAGTGCCAGAATGGAACAGACTCCTCATTAAATTTTCTGGGATGTTGAGAGTGAGTGGGTGGCAGAGTCTGAACTTGTTTCTATATCCATACTTTTCCCCAAAGCAGAGGATAGGAGGGTTGGTGCACAGTCCTAATAAAAGGAGGTAATTAAAATGGTACTGTAGACAGTAGAACTTTTACAGAGTAGAACAATCTTGCGGTGGTTATGGTTAGTTAGGTGCAAATCTTGTGATGGTTATGTACAAAGTTATGGAGAACCTTGCCTCATTCAGGGACTTTTAATTTACTGCTGTTCATTTTATGCCTTAACCCTGTGATTCTCAACCAGGGTGCCCTGGGGTGCCCTGATTCTTTCAAGAGTGCCCCAGGGTGCCATGCAATTAGTACTGTTAAGTGTGCAAACCAGATTCACAGAGATTTCAAGTGGGAATCCATAGTGTTAAATACATTCAGACCTGTTGTTAGGGTAGGTCTAAGTGCCAGACGTTCTGGGAAGGTTATATTGGGCAAAAATGGCTGGCCCGATATAAATTAATTCCCCTGAGGAGGTGAACTAAGATTGGGAATGGATTAGCCCAATCTAACAGACATTTGTTTGTGTTCAGAGTGCAGCCCTGGGGCTGCATTTTTCCTATCCCACCCTCCCCCCCAAAAAACAAACCAACCCCTGACTAGGCTATTTTTAACCATTTGACCGTCCCCCTTCCCCTCTCCTTCTACCTTGACTTGCTTTGGTTGGGTTCCCAGTGAAGCTCTTGGCACCAGCGAATTCATGCACACGTTGCACCCCATTGTGATCATGCAGCTTAAAGGTATTGTAGATTGGATACCACAAATGTGCGTACATACCCTAAGTAAATCTTCACTGCTTATAGTAGAAATTGGCTGGCTGAGCAAAAATTCAGTTCTTGCTTTGCATTAGCCTCTTTCAACAATAAGCTCTAAAAATTGTTGATGTTTGAGGAAAACGCAGTTTTAGAGTCCTGATAGGAATTCTAGTATCACTTTTAAAATTGTTGATGAGTTGTTGCTTTATGGGGCTGGGCTGTGGCTTGGGAAATGGCTATCCTCACAGCAAAGCAGTGATGGTTACTAGAAAGTTATATTGGCAGTGCCTAGTGTCAGATACTAGGTATAGCTTCTTCTTGTAGTCCCTGGTTCAAGAAACATTTCTATTTGTTTAGAGGCAGATCATAAGAAGCTGTCTGATGTCTTCAGGAAAATTAAATCAGCCTGAGATAAAGTATTGCCAGTACAGACTGCCTAGTTGGGTTTTTTTCAAGCTATTAGGCACTGCTTTTTCCAGGCTGTTTGCAGCTGTCTAATGGTGTAGTATGTCTGCTTTCTTTCATGTACAGATTGACAAATTTAATACCTTTTAATTTTTTTTAATAGGTTGATATTTGGAATGCTGTATCCTGCTTATTATTCATACAAGGCTGTGAAGACAAAAAATGTGAAGGAATACGTAAGTCCCACATGTCTTATCTCTTCAGTTAAACATGCTGCTGTTGAAATGTATGGGAAATTTTACATTACATTATGCAAAGAATAGTCAGCTGAAAGTTTGACACAGGTTTTAACAGAGCTTCAGAAATATTAGGTACAAAAATAATGTTAATTCACCATCTATTTTTCATAGTCAGTTTAGAACTCTGAAAGTTTTTATAGATTACAGCGCTCAACATGTGCTATGTGTATGATGAAATGCAGTGTGGTATGTATTTCAGCAAAATAGATGCGTGGCATAGCAAGTTAGGATTGTAATATCTTCTAGCCCTGTGTCTGCGCTGCAGTTGTTATGCTCAGAGCTGCAAAAGTCATCTGAAGCTAGATCAACTTTAGGTGGTTCCGCTGTGCTGAGTTGCATGCTGATGTGGCTGAACTTCTACTGGTAATCAAGCCTGCTAAAGTTAGTGTGACTTTGGCTGTATGCCCTTAGATGCCTAAGAACTCTGCTTGTGGGTAGTCTTGCTTTTTTCGTTCATAGTAGCATGCAAAGTTATTCACGTGTATACATTCTTGTAAGCTTCTGACTGATTTATTTGAGCAGTCTAAATGAAACTTTGTTTTTGTACCTAACTTCTTTGGGTTTTGGTGGAGGCAGTAGCTTTACTTAAAGCAGGCTTGTCCAACGTGCGGCCTGCCAAGCCATTTTATCTGGCCCGTGGTGGCGGGGCCGCCATGGTACGCAGAGACGTGGTGGCGGCGGAGAGTGGAGCGGTGGCGGGGCTGCTGTGGAGCGCGGAGCTGCAGTGGCAGCAGTGGGGCAGTGGCGGCGGGGCAGTGGCGAGGGGAGGTGGGCAGGGTCGGCCTGCGGGCCCCAGCTGGCAGCGAGGGGAGGGAAGCTGCTTACCCCCACGGGGCCTGGCTCATCAGTGAGCCGGGTCCTGCCGCAGCTGCCCCAAGGGCTGCGTGGAGCGGGCCTTCCCCAACCACGCCTGATTGGATGAGCTGGAGATGGGCTCCACCCCTTGCCCCTGGCATGTGGCCTGGGGGGCTGCAGCATGACCCATGCCCTGCCTGCACGTGTGGTGGATGGAGGTATGAGGTACGTTCCCGTGCGGAGCTGGGGACGCCTCAGGGCCGGCCGGGGCGGACGGAGGCATGGGGGTAAGTTCCCACGCGGAGCTGGGGGCGCCTCGAGGTCGGCCGGCCCCGACAGAGGCATGGGATAAGTTTCTGTGCAGAGCAGACCCATTTCATTGTCACTTCCTGCAACTTCATTGGTTTCAAAGGTCACGTGACATCTCACAAGAAGTGACATCACATCAGGACGTGGTCTTTGAATATGGCTCGCCAGCCCACTGGGTGATTAAAAAGTTCGTGATCCGGCCCCACATTCAAAAAGGTTGGCTACCCCTGACTTAAAGCATGAAAACTTGCCACATCACTCACGTAATCTTTTCCTTGTATTCAGTAAACATAGCAGCTTAATCTATGCTTTTGATAGATAGCACTGCAAAGAATGGAATGACAGGAGTTCTGCTCCATTCTATATAATATAGTTAGGTTCCACACTTGTTTGTACTGTATGAATCTTAAGACATTTAGAGCTTCTCATTAGACTTTTAGAACTATTACTATTTGAATTATGCACAAAAAAGAAGGCCCCCTGAGTGCAGTGGGTTTTTTTTTTTTCTTCTTCTTCTTTTTTTTATCCATACTTGAAGCCTGAGGAAACTATTTATAATGTAAACTATGAATAGTTCATTTAAACCAAGTAATTTTACAAGAGCCAGAAAAAAATATAAAAGCTAAAGAGAGACCTTCTGCAGATCTTAATGTATCCAGAAGTTTTAGTGGGTTTTTGGCCTTCCAGAAGGTTTAGTATGGGAAGTTGTGAGGTCTTGGGTAGTTTCTAGGCCAGCTAGTATTTTAGGGATAAAATTTAATTCTTTAAATCTCACTAGGTAGCGGGAACTGTAGGTTATGGATCTAATACTGCAGTAATGCAGTCTCAATGATGAGAAGTCATGAATGACAGCAGCAAGGTCTGTATGCAAAGAAATAATTGCATCCTCCTCGTCAAAGAGCTGTATTAAACATTGCTGCTAGTTAAGCTGTTAACATTTTGGAGTCTAACAAGACTGGACAAAAAAAACAAGCAAATATTCCTTTATGCTTATGTCTTCCCAACTTGCTGAAGATCATAGAATCAGAGAAATAGGACTGAAAGGGACATCCATGGGTCTTCTAGTCCAGCCTCCTTGAGGCAGAATCATCTCTGTCCAGATCATCCGATATAAAATATTAGTGACACCACTTTTGAAAACCTTGTGAGTTTTAAAAGCTTCTAGTTTATAAATCTGCCCTCCTCTTAGTTCTGGTGTTCAAAAACACCACATTCCCTTCTAAAACTTTTTTCCCCAATTGTTGGTGTGTGAAAGTCTGCCAATATAAAGGAGACTACCCAAAAGGACACAGTAAATCTGAATGGACAAAGCCTGATTTTTGCCAGCCATTGTATTAGCACGCTATTTTCAGACAAGGTATGGTGGCATGGTGATATTGTCTGCACCTGAGTGATCCAGTTAAGCTTTACCTAAATAACTAAAGATAAAATGATGGATACTTACCTACAGTTGCACTGCTCACTTCCCTCCCAGCTTTTCACTCTTCTGTAAGGCTTCATTAACAAGGGTTGGCCCTCTCACTACGCTTTCTCCCCCAGCATAGAACTAATCTTTTAGAAATGAAGATTTTTTTTTTTTATTTTTTTTTAAAGGATGTTGAAAATTGCAATAAGAGCTGATAGTTAGGTATTAATTATTATCTAGTCTTCCCTGAGAGTAATGTTAATTATCACAGAATAAGTTGTACACATGGTACAGGTTTTCAAGGATACATAATTGCTATTGTAAGCTGTATTTTAAGATGGTCCCTGAATTGCTGCTGCTGCTACAAAAAATTTGTGAAATGCTGGCCTAGTTCTCTAGTTTGATGTTTGAACATTTTAAATCCAGGGACCACTTGTGAGGTGGTTTGCTATTTATTAATGTGTAACCTGGGCAGTACTCCAAGAGGTACCTCCTCTCCAATTGAAGGGATCAAAGCAGGTGCACAAGCGCTGTGGGAGGTATAGGGACTCTCCTCCCCCTATAGAGCAGAGCCAGACCACCAATGGGGCCTTAACCGTATACCTTTTAATGAGAGAACAGTACTGGGAACATAAATGGGCATAAACCAGGCAGTATAGGGGACACTACAACGCCCCAAGGGAGCAGGATTCAACAAAGGTTACACTTACAATCATTGACAAAAGACAGGGTTAACAAAATATAAAACACAAACAGCAGAACGAACAATACTGGTGGGTGAAATCTAAGAAGGCACAAAATGCTAAGGAAATAGAGGGCCTAGGTACTTGGAGGGGGAGAAAGGGGGAAAACACAATGGCCCCTTTTCACTGCAAGAAGACTTTCTCCTTGTTAGCTCACTCACCCCAAGTCACCCCAGCTGGGACTTGACCTCAGGTCTCCCATGTGGTAGGCAGAAATACTGCCACACAACCACCACTGGTGGCACTGCTCCGAACTGCTAGGGGTCTTGACCTTCCCAGAGCCCCGGCCTCGTGTCGAGCTGCCTAGCCTCTTATTGGAGGAGCTGGAAGCAGATCTGGGAACCTTTCAGGTCTCTGCTCAGATCCTGCTGGAGTAAGCAATCCTGGAGCCCAGCAGGGAGCCTCTCCTGCTGGCTGCTGGCCGCACGCCGTGCTGCTGAGGGTCTAGCTGCTGCCTGCAGGTCCTGCTCCTTCAGGCTCTTCTGGGGCAACTGCTCCCACCCTGCTGGCCCAGCTCTTGCCAGCTCTTTGAAGCTCCTTCCTTGTGGTCCCTTGCTGGTCTCTCTCGAGTCAGCTGCGCTGCCCCTTTTATCTCTCTCCAGGTGACCCAAGGGGCCAATCAGGGAACATGGAGGGTGAATCTCTGGGGTCTGCTTGGTGAGTAAAGGGAATCCCAAGTCCTCCAATCATCTTTGGCCCTTTCAAAACCCCTGGGCTAAATCATTACCACATTGGTGAGGAAAGGGAATCCCAAGTCCTCCAATCATCTTTTGCCCTTTCAAAACCCCTGGGCTAAGTCACTGCCAGCTAGCCCATCACAAATGGTTAACTGGAATTGTGAAATCCATTAACTAATGGCTTGTAACAGCGTAAATGAATACAGAGGAGAATGTGCGGGCCGGGAGCGGTCCGAGGCCCTCGGGTTTTTTTTTTCGCGCGGCGGGCTGCCGCAGCCCGGACACACCGGGTCGGGGAAGACAGGCGGCACGACAGAATTAGGCACGGACGCTTAGTGGTTGATTTTAAGATTATTTTACTTACACCGAAGATGGTCGCGGTGCAGGCAGGAAAACTTGCTTGAGTTGCGGTAACAAAACAAAACACTTGAACCTGCAGAACATAAGGGTACGTCACAATGGGGTTTCGGCGATGGGAGATGAACAAAAACCTCGAGAGTACGTCGCAATGGGGTTTCGGCGATGGGAAGAAAAAAACTGCAGGACTCGAACCCTGGGTAGAGCTCTGGATTCACTCGCACGAAGTTTGCTAGGCTCCGTGGAACTTGCGCGCAGGGAAGGGTACGTCGAGGGATCAGGCGATGACGGGGAGAGGCGAGAGGTTGATCAGACCTCTGTAGCCTTCTTGAGATGCACGCTGGGTCCAGTAGGCTCCGCAGCGCTTAGAGATCTTCACGAGACGTGAAGTTCTCCTCCTCCTGATGTTCGTGGAGTCCTCCAACTTGGGCGGAAACCACTCAAGCCTCTTATATGGCTATCACGGCAAATGTCTGCTGC